TTGTCTTTACACAGCTTTATTTCCTTGGCTAAGTGCTGAGGCAAAGCTTCTTAAATTAGGATGCCCGATTTGACGGAAGCCAAGATCCAGTGATCCAGCCCCTCTGTCTCTTGGGAGCTGATATTCTCCCAGATGTGAAAAAGCAACTGTGGGTCCAGCAGGCTCGCTCCCAGGAATGGAATCATATATATGTCTTATTGCAGCCATTTTGCATGTTACCAGGCAAGATTTTAGAATACAGTCGAAGTTAAACAAGTGAATGATCCAATTTCTCTAGCTGTACTTTCCGAGGGCCTCCCCTTACAACCCTGAGGGAGTTTTGAATGTACAAAGAATGTGCATGCCAGGATGAAAGAAACGGGTCCTTAAGGAATGTGGGGGCCGGGAACACAGACGAAGTTATCCTTCTTGCTCTGGCTACTCTGGAACAGCCGCCAACAGCAGTGCCCTGGATGAGATGTCACCGTCCTGTGCGACCGAGGTTTTGAGCTTCAGGAAAAGACACCAGCTATAGATGTATCAGGGCTGTTGGCTTTGTAGGCCAAGACTTAGTCCAGCATGCTGGGCAGGGATCTCGGCAGCAGGCCTTGGGCTCTTCCCCTCGGGGGCTGCCAGGAAGAGGTCCTCTTTACCCTCTATATCTTCACCCCACTCACCACTCAACAGATTCTGCATTTAATGTTTGCAGTAGGTTCTCTACTTTGTACTAGAGATTCTCACCCTACCCCAGATCCTAACTCCTCCACTGTTAGCATCTTACACAACAACAGCAATAATCAGAAACAGCAAACTGATAATCTATTGTCATAAATCGAGCCCATACTTCATTGTAATTGTATGAACATTTCTCTAATCTGTTCTGGGTCCCATCCAGCACAATCTCAGATTCAGTCATCCTGTTTTCTTAAGCTCCTCTGTCTCTGGAAGTTGCTTAGCTTTTCCTTATTTTTTGATGCTGAATGGTTTTAAGGAGTTTCATAGGTGATCTCTAGTGCTTCCCCCAAATATTAGACTGGTTGTGTGGGGACAACAGAGGTACAGTGACATCTCTGTCTAACCATATCAGAAGCACAGACTGTCAGTACCCCTGCTGATATGGATCCTGTGGCTGAGGTGACAAGTGTCAGGTGTCCCCTCTGTTTCCACACGGCAGTATTTAGAAGGAATTCATCATGCACAGCCCATCCTTGAAGACCAGGGAGGGAGTTGTGCTCGCCTCCTAGAGAGGACTGGAGGCTTGCTCATGAGAGATTTATTTGTTCCTCTACGTATCTGCTTTGTCAGTCATTTACTTAAGGCAGATGGACTTGTGGACATTTATTGTGTAGATACTTGGTGCTGTAATAAGGCACTACACTGGTGCTCATAGTGGTCCAGACTCATCCACTGGAAGCTCTTTCAGTGGGCACTTTGCTCCTTAAGATACTCTGGTCACTAGTAGTTTTGCTGGTGTCTTGCTACCTCTTGGCATTTCAAGATGCTTCCAGCTTATTCTGTATTCTCTCTGTCTTAGGAAATGGACCATCCATCTTTGTTAGAGGTCCCCAGTCTTTTTATTAAGAAGGACATTAGAAACCAATATGTGAACATTACACTTTATTTTGTCTATTAAAACAACCAAATAAACAAATCAATGTTTTAAAAAAATTGAAAGCAAGAGCAGCAAGGACAAATCCCCCTGGCCCCAGAGCAGCTTGTGTTGGCTGAGGAAGAGGTCAGCATCTTGCCACAGAGGATGCGCTGCATATCCGCGTCCCTCCATTTCTAGCCTCTTCGAAAATCACGTGACTCCCTCATAAATGCTAACTGCGAGCTCTAGGCATTAAATTTGGGCCCTCATTCTTACAAGCTCCCTTACTACTGAGTTCTCTCCAGCGGTCTGTTTTTAGCTCTTTAGATTAGGCAGTAAAACTTAAATTTATGAACACTGAGTCAATTTTGATTGTATTTCATTCCCTTATAAAAATCCTATTTTTAAAAAGCCGTGGACTCCTATTCTAGCCTAGTTTTGATTGCTGTAACAGAAGAGCAGTGGCTGCATAATTCTTAAAGGAGCGAGCCTTTCTGCTCTGGGGATGTGGCCAGTTGTAGAATGTTTGTCTAGTGGGCATGATGCCCTGATGACACACACACACGCACACACACACACATGAGCAACCACCACCACCACCACCACCACCCCACACTCAGAGATAAAGAGGGTTAACTAGTTAACCCCTGGAGGCACAAGTACGTGGTGAGGCCTCCTGGCAGGAGATGTACTGGTGTGAGCAGATGTGGTGGGGACCCATGAGTCACCTGGGGAAACAGGAACTTGGAGGGGGGGCAGTCATTTTCTTTGTTCTCATTTTTTTGTTGTTCTTATTTGGGGTCTGTTTATGTACCCCTGCATGGTGATGGATTAAAGGTGTGTGCTCTCATGCCTGGCCAGTCTCCCCACTTTTAAAACAACCTACTCTCATGGAGGCTAACTGACTTCAGGAGCCAAAATCAATTCTTTCCCAAGGTGATGCCCCCCAAATGGCCGAACCACTTCTTGAAGGTTCTTATATCTCTTAATGTATTGAGGATCAGGCCCCTAGCATATAAGCCTCTGGGGCCATATCCACAGTGCTGCCCACAGCTTACAGAAGATTCCTGTTTTGTTTTAAAGCCCCGGCATCTGAAGAGGATGGTGTCTTAGTCACTGTCCTATTGCTGTGAAGAGACACCAGGACCACAGCAACTCTTATAACGGAAAGCATTTAATTAGGGCTGGCTTACAGTTTCAGAGGTTTAGTCCGTTACCAGCATGGCAGGAAGCATGGCTGCATGCAGGGAGACATCATGCTGAAGAAGTAGCTGAAAGTTTTATATTCAGACCCCCAGGCAGCAGGGAGAGAGAGACTGGGCCTTTTAAAACCTCAAGTTGCCGTCAGTGACACACTTCTTCCAACAAGACCACATCTCCTAACCCTTTCAAATAGTGCCCCTCCCTAGTAACTAAGCATAGATTTGAAAATCTATGAGCCTATGGGAGCCATTCTCCCTCAAACCACCACAGAGGGTTAATAAGGAAGTTTTCAAGACAGGGCTTTTCTGTGTAGCCCTGGCTGTCCTGGAACTCCCTCTGTAGACCAGGCTGGCCTTGAACTCAGAGATCCACCTGCCTCTGCCTCTCCAGTGCTAGGATTGAAGTCATGCACCACCACTGCATAGGAAGTGCATAGGAAGCTTTTCTTTTCTTGCAACCATCTGACTCAGATCTCTATGATTGCTTCATTTAGACAGAAATGATGAGTAGAAATGACAGCTAATTGTAATACTATGACTTTTTTCAAAAACAGGTTCAGTGGTTAAACCCAACATTAATAACTATAACAGAAAACAAACATGAGATGTTAGGGTTGTTCTGTAGTTCATGAGACTGAGATTTCAGTAATCATTATCATCACGATTATCACCATCGTCATCGCCACCATCATCAGCATCATCATCATTAGGTCATTATTACCACCATCATCAGCATCATCACCATCACCACCACCATCAAGACCATCATCATCATCATCGCCAGCAGTCATCCTAGGGAAGGAGCAAGTAGACCTTCATGTTGATTTACTTGAAGGCCACAGGCAAATAAATCACAATTTTCCAATATTGTGCTGATCGGTAGAATTTTTGGGGTCGCTCATGTAAACTATCATATCATCAGCAAATACTAAGAGTTTGACTTCAGGATGTAAAGCTCTCAGCTACTGCGCTAGTGCCATGTCAGCCTGTTTCCTGCCATGATGATCATGGGCTAACCCTCTAAACTTGTACGCGAGCCCTCAGTTAGGTGCTTTATTTGATAAGAGTTGCCTTGGTCATGGTGTCTCCTCCCAGCAGTAGAGCAGCAGCTACAACAATGAATCCACAGTATTCGGATGACTCTTTCTCCATCACTATTATTAGTCCATCCTAAAAGTCTAGAAGAAAGATAGATGTAGACGCGTGTGTATTAACAATGGGACAGAGCACCTGGCTGTCCAAAGTGTACTTGTGGATTTGCAGAGACAACCTCCCTGGGGGCTCTTAAGGATTGTAGACTCCTACCCCAGAACTCAGAACCAAAACCTGCATTTTTGTGAGAACCACAGGAGGTTCTTTGAAAAAGTTGGAAACCTTGGGGATTGAGCAATTGCTCTTGAACGGTGTGTACACACTGAAAAATTTTGAAACTTTGGAAACTCCTGATGCCTAGGGTCCCGCTCTTGCTAACTGACTTGATTCTTCTGACGTGGGTCCCCAAGAAGTCACTGGCGTTTTATGCCACCTTCCAACTGCACCTACCATCTGTCCCCATGTATCCCCTACAGCGTTCCATTACTCTGACCCACCTAGTGCCAAGTGCAAGGTGGCCTATTGACCCAATATCATCGGCTGGCCTTTGCCAAGTCCATTAGTGCAGATTCCATCTCCTTGCGTGTGGTTCCAGGGAGACCTTCATAGTGGTGGCTGCCCATTCCTGTCCCATCCAGATTGTGTCTGACAGTTTGCCATAGGAAGTCACCCCTGAACAGCTAGTCAGCAACCTGGAGAACGCTTAGCATGCGTGAGCTCATCAGAGAGCAAGGAGAGCCTCATGGTCCATCTCCTGGTGGCTACAGTGAAAGCCCCGTGGCCAGTATCTACAGAGCACAGAGGTGTGAGCAGGGCACTGCCTTGAATCTGCATCCTGCTCTCAGGGGCACCCTGGGTTTTAACCATTCATGCCTCTGTTTGTTCCAACACCCACTACCTTGTGTTGTCATTTCCTGGGTAGTACCAAGGTAAGGGTGAAGACAGAGCTATCTTATGGCTAGAATCTGTTATAATTTGCACATGAACTTGAATCCTGAAGCTCCTTTCCCAAAGCTGAGCAGTAAAAAGATGCAGAAGCAAGAAAGAGTGCTGAGAATTAGCAGACCTCCAGGAAAGACCCGGGTGGTGTGGGGAGCATTTCGAGATGTTCACTGCTTACATAGACTCTCTTGCAGATCAAGCCCCCGGTGCTCATGACTCCCTTGGCTCTGTCACCTCCACGGAGTACCCCAGAACCTGACCTCAGCTCCATTCCTCAGGATGCAGCCACCATCCCCAGCTTGGTGGTCCCACAGGCTCTTACAGGTAGGAGGCTCTTACAGGTAATAAAATAGACTCCAAGGTGGCAATGGTTTCCTAGGACCAGGGTGTCTTTTCATCTAACAGTTACTTTATAAGTCTAAGAATTTCTCTGAGATACTTTACAAGGTGTGGCAGTGCACACCTTTAATCCCAGCGCCCAGCACTGGAAGCAGAGGCAGGCTGATCTCTGGGTTTGAGGTCAGCCTGGTCTACAAAGTGAATTCCAGGACAGCTGGGACTGCACAGAGAAACCCTGTTTCTAACAAAAAGAAAAGTTTTCCTGAGACAAATCAAAGAAAGACCTGGCGTAGTAGCTGGGCAGCAGATAGGACAGTCCTGGTCTCTGAAAGCACGTGTTTGGTTATTTTAAAACTGTTTTCTGGGAATGTTGGGTTCCGCTGGTTTCTTTGGATAGGCAGGTAGGAGCAGCGGACGCATGGGAGTGTGCTCGCTTAAGTGTGTCCATTTTGTGTTTGTACTTCCAGTTGCTACCACATGCCCCGACATAGTGTAGCACCCATTCCAATCTCTCTCCCTCTCTTTGATGATGATGATGATGGTGAATCAGCAACCATTAGCTTCATCTCAATTGTATCAGTAGTTCTATGGCTACAAAGGCACACATGCATGCGTGCACCCCCCCCACCTCCCCCCCACACACACAGAGAGAGAGAGAGAGAGAGAGAGAGAGAGAGAGAGAGAGAGAGAGCCCTCATCACAACTTCACTCCCTGCTCCCATTCCTTTAGTCCCCTCCCCTCCCACTGTCAGGTAAAGACTAAAGCTGTTAATCCAGCTGAGAAGTCCTGCTGGTTCCAGCCTTGCCTCCACCCCAGCCCCTTTCCAGGATTCCACTCACCTGTTCACCAGGTGCAGTCTGGAGGGTCTTAGTGTACTCTCTTCCTCTATTTGGGGTGAGCTTCCTGTCTAGTCTCCCCATCGCTGCCTCACACTCAGCTCAGACATACCCTCCAGGAAACCTAGCTGCCCTCCCTGCCAGCAGCCCCTGCCGGAGCAATCCCAGCTCCTCTCTGGGATCTCCAGAGCCTGAGCTCTCCCCTCAGCTCCTGAGAACTGAATAGCCAAGGTCTCCTTCTCTTGCCTGCTACAGAGCCTGTCTCCTAGGTGAGGGCAAATGGGAGCAGCAGTCTTGGGAAATGTAGTGAACTTTGGAAGTTCCATGGCTGCAGATCTGAGCCACCCTCTGAGCACTTCCGCCCCCCTTTCCTTATGAGCAAAGCAAGAAGAATAAAACCCAACTCAGACTTGCTTGAAAACATGGAAACTGCCTGTCTGCTGTTATTACTTAACATCCCCAAAGTCCCACTAGTCACCTCCTAAAGTCCTTAACACGCTGCTGGCCGGGAGGTGGTGGTGCACACTTTTAACCCCAGCAGGGAGGCAGAGGCAGGTGGACCTCTGTGAGTTTGAGGCCAGCCTGCTCTACAGAGTGAGTTTCAGAACAGCTAGTATCACGCAGAGAAATGCTGTCTTGAAAAAACCAAACAACAACCAAAAACCAAAAACCAAAACCAAACCAAAACAAAACAAAAAACAATACTCCCCTGAAACAGTGACCTCTGAGGTAAGATGCTTAAGTTGTTGGAGGACAGACACTTAAGACAGGCGACTGACATTTGTAAGAAAATCCGACCCTGTTATTAACATTCAATTTGACTTTACTCTTGTAAAATTTCTATTCCTTGCATCCATTTAATACTGTCAACAATACGCGTGAGGCAGAACCTCACAGTGCCACTGAAGAGGAGGAAGTAGCATTTCCACCTTACTTCCGGCGTAGCTTTTCTCAAGAAGCAAGCTGGGGAATTCTTCCTTTGTTAAGAATCTGGTATTGAGCATCTTTGGGCTTTTCTAATCAGGTCACGATAACCTTACTGTTACTTTTAATATTCAAACAGCTGACCTGGCAGTAGAGGGCAGGGCACATTTTATCAGAGCAGTCTGGAGTCAGGCTGACCTGCTGGGCAATTTTCGTTAAGTTACAGATGAAATAGTTGTGAGCAGGTGTGTATGCCACAGTCACAGGGGAAAGAGTTGTGAGCAGGTGTGTATGCCACAGTCACAGGGGAAAGAGTTGTGAGCAGGTGTGTACGCCACAATTACAGGGGAAAGAGTTGTGAGCGGGTGTGTACGCCACAATTACAGGGGAAATAGTTGTGAGCGGGTGTGTACGCCACAATTACAGGGGAAATAGTTGTGAGCAGGTGTGTATGCCACAGTCACAGGGGGAAGAGTTGTGAGCGGGTGCTGTCTTAGAACAAAATTAAGTTGAACTTGTATCTGCTGGTTTGAGCCCCTCAGCCCAACTGACTGTCATATTAGTGATGATTCATTGGGCAATCTTTTCAGTAGAAACAGTTTCTCTAAAAAAGGACTTATGGTGGCCCATGAGATGGATCAGTGGGCAGAGGCACTTGACCACCTGGTGTGGTGACCTCAGTGTGGTACTGGAACCCACACGGTGAAGGAAAGGGCAGACTCCCTCAAGCTGGCCTCGGGTCCCCACATGTGTGCACCACATACACACGTGTGCATACACACACACACACACACACACACACACAGCCCACAATGTAAAACATTCATAAAATTCCCCACTGTGATCTGCTGAAAATTTACTGAATATGGAAAACCAGTATTAGAGACGTTCTGACATTTTTCTGTAGATTTGTATTATATAAATATAGTACTTACCTATTAAAATACTTTAATACATACGACATTAACATAATAAATTACATTAACATAGTAAATGAACACAATTTATGTTCAAAATTTTATTATGAGATATATTATCTTAAAAGTGTGGGGAATTTGGAACTGGAGAGATGGCTCAGTGGTTAAGATGTTGTTCTTGCAAAGGACCTGGGTTCAGTTCTCAGCATCCACACAGTAGCTCACAACTATCTGTAACTCCAGTTCTGCAGGACCTGACACCAGATCCCAGGGCTCATGGTACACAGATATAACACACTCCCACACGTAAAATTTAAAAAAAATATTTTAAGTATGGGGCTTTGATTGAATGTTCGGTGGATTTTGATTTTCTTTCTTGAAGTTATAAACAGCGATCCTGTTGGAGCATTATACTGCTTCTAAGTGGTTAGTATCACACCATGGTTTTGGTTTTTTGTTTTGTTTTGTTTGTTTTTTGAGACAAAGTTTCTCTGTAGCTTTGGAGCCTATCCTGGAACTAGCTCTTATAGACCAGGCTGGCCTTGAACTTACAGAGATCTGCCTGCCTCTGCCTCCTGAGTGCTGGGATTAAAGGCGTGCACCACCACTGCCTGGCTCACAACATGTTTTTTATTGGTACAAACTCACAGGGAAATGACCTGAGATCCATGGAAGAGCAGAGGTAGATTTGGTCACAGAGCTACTCAGATGGAAATACCTTTATAAACACTGTCCATATGAGCCAGAGTAATTGTCCTCTGTATACTTTTACCCAGTTAGAGGGTACCCAGCTATTCCTCTGCCCACTGCCAGGAGGTCACCCTTGAACAAGTTCTGACCATTGGGAAGTATAGTTTTTTAGCCTTTTTACCTTCTTATACCAGAAGAATCAGTCCCATGTCTGCCCTTTGCAGTATTTCCAAGACCAGGGCCTGGTACAGACCTGAGGTAGCCCCAGCCTAGGCGGCCTGCAGGCAGATGCACTTGCAATGCCAGACTTCTCACTTCTGCTGTTCTCTGTGCTCCACAGTGTGCCTCTACATCAACAAACAGGCTGATGCAGGGCCATACCTGGAGAGGAGGAAGCTGCAGCAGCTTCCTGAGCGCCTGGGGCCTGAGCGGCCTGCAGCTGTCCTGCAGCAGGCGGTGCAGGCATGCATAGACTGTGCACACCAGCCAAGGCTCGTCTTCTCCCTTGTCAAGCAGGGCTACCGTGGTGAACTGGTGTCAGGTAAGGCATGGAGGTGCGGGTGGTATGCACATGGTTTCTCTGTGTAGCCACCCCCCGAGTGTCCTTCCCCTGCTGGGCTCCAGGGCCTTTGTGAGCCTGGGAGCAGAACACATCCCTTAGGACAATTTGACAGACTGCTACCTGACCTGGGGAGCAAGAATGACCTCCTGGAGCCTCACCCTTGACTCCGCCATCCTCCCCCCACTTCCAACACCGTGCCTCTGCCTTCAAGTGCATCCACAATGCATTCCCAACCACAGTGGGTTTTAAGATAAGACCATGCTTGATCTTTGCCCTAAATCCTCCATACGCTCTTATGTTCAAGTGAAAGCCCATATCTTCACAAGGCCCATAGGCCTATGTGAACTGCTCCTGGCTCCCTCTCCAAACTCAGCCCACTTCTCTCTCCCATATTCAGCTTGGGTTAGATGGCTTCTTTGCTATGCTTCCTACAGCCTTCGACCACTCTCCTACCTCAGGGCCTTGGCTCCTGCTGACTTATTTTTCTGGAATATTTTACCCTGGTGGTCCATGCTACAGGCTCCTGAAAACCCTTTTCGGCTTCTACTCAAACGCTGCCTTATCGAAGTCCTCTCTTCTGGCCTTGATCAGAATATCAGGCCTTCTTTACTCTGTCCATTTTCCTTAGCACTCACAACCACAAGGACAGCTGGGGCGGTCTCCCAATTCAACCCACCTCTTTAGACAGGGTCACAGCCCTGGTGAAGCCCCACCTGCCAGCTCCCAGAGGAGCCGATTTGCCTACAGAATGCAGAGTTCTGACTCTTTCAAACCCTGTATCCATCTATCCCACACTACCCAACCCTTGTCGCTACCTGGACCGCCAGGCTCTGCAGCTTTGGAGAGTCAGGCCTGTGTCTTCCGGCTCGGCATCATGGCTATGGCCTTCCTTAGCACCAAGGAAAAGGCAGATTTCCTGGCTATGGACCTGCCTGGTTAGTTAAGAAGGAGTCAGCGGAAGAGGTCATGGGGATGCATGTCTGGATTCCCAGAGGTCTTGAGTGTGCAGCCAGGGTGGGCTACACAGAGAGTTCTAAGATATTTGTGCTACAAAGTGAGACACAGTCTCAAAAACTAAAGAAAGGTGACAAGGAGGGGGAGGAGGGAAGGAAAAGGGAAAGGGGCAGAAGGAAGAAAGGAGCCATGGCTAGGGTCAAGGGCATGTGTCTGGCACAGTGATATTTAAGGGCCCCAGCAGACGTACCAACAAGAAGATACGTGAACAAGGGAGAGGAGGAGAATCTAGTTCCAGCCTCCTGGAGTTCCTCTGCCACATATGTCTGCTCACCCTTGAACCATCCTCTTACCTTGCTACATAGTAGGGATCAAGACACAGATCTGGGGCTGAGGGAGGGGCCCTTCTCTCTGCCCTCCTTCTCTATGATGCTGCTTGTCCTAGAGGCTCTGTACGCCCTGCCCTTGAGCGGGGAGAGCTGGTACTGAGCCTGGATTTCCTGCTCCCCGTTTCTGTAGCCTCAGGGCCTCGGCATGAGGGGGAAGCAATCCCAGGATGGATGACTTTTGGAGTTCCCATTGGCTGAAGGAATCCCCAGTCATATGGACTATTTTCCCAATGTCTTCGAGAACGCTACAGCACTGAGTGAGCCTCACGCCTCCACCTTGAGGTCATTAGGTGTGGGGTAACTTTTCATGTTACAGTTGGAGACAGAGGCCCAACAAGGCTACAGGACAGCATCCATGTGTCCCAGAACGGGTAGGGATGGAGAGAGGACTCTGGAGAAACAGCAGGGTACCCACTCTGCATTTAGAAGCTGTTCCCCAAAGCACCCCGCTCCCCGAATACCCCACAGCACAGCACACAGAAGTTCGTCACATGGATTCTGGCAGAAACGAGGAGGAACCCAAGGGTGAGAGGAGGTTTCTGGACTCCAGACAATCTAAGGGTTGGCAGGAGCAGCATTTTAGAGCTAGCTGCATGATCCCTCCCAGCATACCTGTTAGGGTGCTCTGCCTTAGCCACGCCCCCACAGGGAGACTTTATGAACTCAGGAGTTCCACATCCTCTTGAAAGAGATGGGATTTCCCCCATGGATGCAATCCCATGAATGTTTACAGAATACATATGTGATTTAATGGATAGACCTGAGGTTCCGAGACTCTCCCACCTAGTTTCCGTATCACCCAGCATTTTAAGACAGTGCCTATACTAATCAGGGGTTTGCAAAGTATCTGGAACAGGCATAATGACAGCTCTGTGGCTAGACCCTGGATCAGAGCCACTTTGAACTTCAGATGAAAGACAAGTGCCACACGGAAGCCACACGAACTGAAAAATCCAGTCTAGGATTCTCCTCCGCTTCATCTTCTGTAGCATGGGACAACAGCCCCAACCCTCCTAGGCCAGCAGGAGGCTGTGTGGAAATGTGTCCCACAGGCCTTAGCAAATTGAAGAGCACTACATGTACGAAATGGAATCTTTTGGTGTCTGGTTATAATAAAGACTAGCAATGGTAGCTCCTGCCATCTGCCAAGCTTCAGGGGATACAATACAAGTCAGGAGGCTGCCTGCTGGGGTTGCTGGGAGTGGGGGAGGCCTTGGTCAAAGCTGGGTCAAAGCAGGGGGTCCTCTCTGAGGTGTCTTTGTGTGTCCCTCGCACTGGAGCTGGTGTGCAGTACTGGGGTGAGGCGCTGTGAGGAGAGAGACAGGGCAAACCCTGCTCAGTGCTTCAGGGAATGGATGCCACTCTTAATTTGGACTTCACAATTTGGTTACTGTCTAGAGCTCGAACTCAGAGTTGCTCTAGAGAGCCCCCCTCCCTTTTAAATATTTATTTTTATTTTATGGCCATTGGTGTTTTGTCTGAGTGTATACAAGTATGAGGAGTGTCAGACTCCCAGAACTGGAGTTACAGACAGTTGTGAGCTGCCGTGTGGGTGCTGGGAGTTACAGACAGTTGTGAGCTGCCGTGTGGGTGCTGGGAGTTACAGACAGTTGTGAGCTGCCGTGTGGGTGCTGGGAGTTACAGACAGTTGTGAGCTGCCGTGTGGGTGCTGCGAGTTACAGACAGTTGTGAGCTGCCGTGTGGGTGCTGGGAGTTACAGACAGTTGTGAGCTGCCGTGTGGGTGCTGCGAACAGAACCCCGGGCTCTCTACAATAGCTGCCAGTGCTCTTAACCATTGAGCCGTCTCTCCAGCCCTGAATTAAAGACTCTCCTCTTGAGGGTGTTCCCTGAAACCCCCTGGGTCCTCTGGTGGCAAATACATTGAATTGGAGACTTCGGGGTGAACTCTGGTGTCTGTGTCTATCTCTTCCTTCAGACAGGTTAGAGATGGACTCCTGGGTGGGAGCGACAACAGTTACCTAGTTACACCAGGAGAGCACATGCACGTTCACACTGCCAAGCCTCTGCCCACTTGGACGGTTCAAAACCGCTGACCCTCGGGAGCAGTGAGCTCACACAGCACTCTGGTGGCTTTCTCTGCATCCCTCGTTCCTAAGAGGAAGCAGGGCAGGGGAGAATGACCAATGGCAGGGCTGGAGCAGGATGGTCCTGGAATGCACCAAAGTGCCCCAAACCAAAGAGGGATGAATTGAAGGGACACAGGAGTCAACCTCATTGGAGCTCCAGAAATGAAAGCTAGAACAATTTTCATTAGAAGACAAACAGCCTTTGACAACCCCGGACATCAGTGTGTGTCCCAGAGTCGCACCAAGCTTAGCACAATGACCGAGTCAAAAATAAATGGGCGAGATGGGGCAATCTGTCCTTACAGAGGAATTGGATGTGGGACCCACTGCTGTTCTAGACAGGAAGTAGTGCTGAACACCCCAAGACCCTTGGAGATGGCAGGTTTAGTGACTTGGTAACCAAGACTTAGTGACTGGACCCAGGGACCAGAATATGGAGAACAGAGAGGGTGTGGGACACATCGGCTCCGCTAAGTGTGGAAGGTTCACGACGCAGAAGCGCCCTGTGGGTATGACGTGGCCCCTGTGTGGTGTTCCGTGAAGGGTTCTTTGTCTCCGTAGTCTTTCTCCCTCCTCCCCTGGCCTCAGTCCCACGATTCCAGCTGTGAGAAAAAGTATGAACCAGACACAATGGAGAGGCAGGTTTCCCAGTGTCTGAGCAGAGCTGGTCGGGGCTGCTGCTGCAGTCATGGAAAGCAAGGACAGGGAGACGAACTGCCACGGACCACGGAGGCAAGGGGACCGGACAACTAAAGCAGCGTGCTGTCCTGGGTGGCACCCCAGGACAGAGACAGGACATTATCGAGACTTCCAGTGGAACTCCATAGAGCCCACCTACAGATAAAAGGGAAATGAATTGCCCTTCTCCGCTTCCTGTGCCCAGCTCTGAGTTCCGATTTCTGGTTTTTCAGTTTCTGCTTCCTTTGATGGAAAGCAGCACCTGAGGAGTCTGCCCGTGGTGAACAGTGTGGGCTATGTCCTCCGCTTCCTGACCAAACTGTGCCGTAGCCTCCTGTGTGACAACCTCTTCAGTCACCTGCCCTACCCTGGGAGCCTCAGTGCCTCCGAGAAGACCCAGGAGAGAGAGGATGGAAGGCCTGAGTCAGGTGAGGAGCAGTTGCTTTGTCCTGCTGCAGGGGCCTCGTAGGTAGGGGCCTTCCTTATGGTTGGTAGATAAGACGGCTGCTGAGGGGCGCTGTTGTCCTTCGAGGCCCTGGAACTCAGGTGGCCAGACTGTTTCCATCCGATACTCCCAGGAAATGTGGTCTCTCCAGCTCTTGGGAGCTGACACCCTAGCCTTGCAGCCTGTGTGCTTAGAATTTAGACCGTGACACCAGGTTACACCTTCCGAGTGGTCTTTTATCCCCCTACTGTCAGGAAACTCTGGTAACTTCATCATTGTTGAGTAGTTGAAGGACTCGGAAACCAAGGAACTAAACGATCCCAAAGAATGTAGGCTGATGGGACAGATGTAGTCTCCCTGCGCGTAGTGTCCCATGTTTATTTGCTTGAAGAAGCTATACGACCAAGACCCTACACCATAGGAATCTGATTGGCCCATGCATCACACACGCTTCCTTTGAGAGCTGGTGTTTACCTCTTTAGCACAGGATGGAAAGTAACCAAATATTGAGCAACTTGGGTACCACAGCCACAGAATAGCCCAGGCTGAATAAAAGTGACCAGAGGGTGGGCCAGGAAGGTCAATGCTTCAGCCTTGTCCGCCTCTGTAGATACTAACGGTAGGTAGAGTCCTTAGCAAAGTAAAGTCACGGATTAGAAGGTGTGGTCTTTTTGGAGGAGGTGCATCACTAGGCTGGGCTTTGAGGTTGCAGAAAACCCATGCTATTCCCAGTGCGGCCTCTTGCTTTCAGTTTGAGAAGTGAGCTTTCGGCTGTTCCTGCAGCCATGCCTTTGGACTCCACGTACTGAAACCATAATTCCAGTTAAATGTTTTCTTATATATGCCAGCTTGGTCATGGTGTTCTATCAGCAAGAGAAACTAAGAAACACTTCTCAGTAGTTGGCTAGGCTGGCCAGCCAGCATGTGTGTGAGTGCTCTTGTGTGTGTGTATTCGTGTATGTGTGTTCGTGCATGTGTGCATATGTGTATTTGTGTGAGTGTTCATGTAAGTGCCCTGGGGTGTGTCAGTGCACTTGTGCATCTGCATATGAGTGCATGTGTGTGTGTTTGTGTGTATATGTGTGTTTGAGTGTGTGTGCTTGTGTGAGTGAGTGTGTGTATATGTGTGTTTGTTTGAGTGTGTGTGTGAGAGTATGCATGTGTATACTGGAATCTAACTCATGTCCTCACTCTTGTGCGGCAAGCACTTTGCTGACTGAATCATCTCTCCAGCCCCTCAATTTATAAAAAAGCAAACAGCACGGGGACTGTTGAGGAAGCAGTCTGTGGACCGACCCTCACCACTGCCTTCTCTTCCTGCTTGGGTTTCCCCACGCACTTGGATATGGCCAGATTCCATGGAAGGTGGTCGTGGAGCCTGCTCCCCTCTTAAGGCCCAAAGGGGATTCATTATTCTAAACAGCTGACTTCAGTCAAAACTGTCTTTGCTCCAACTTTCCAAAGCAGGAAAATCAATCCACAGCTTAGAACAAAGTCTTCGGCAAACCAGAAACATGCTGGGGAATGGGGGAAATTCAGGTGTCAGGCATTAAAAATGATGGCTGGTTCTGGGCCTCTCCTCAGGGAAGGGAAAATGTAAATGTATTAAAATGCACCAGAGTGGAGGCTGAGCTGGGGGCAAACGGAAGGAGAAAAATCTATACTGGCCAGGGACCAAGTTAATGGAAAATGTAATTGAAGGGAATGAAAAGCTCCGTCTGTAGGTGGCACAGCCTGGTGCCCTTTGAACCCGGAAGGCAGACACAAGGCCACCGAGGCCCTAAGGGAAAACGAGAATTGCTTATCTGTAGGAACAGGGGTGGGACTGAGCCTGGGAACGGAAAATCTGTGACCGTAGCCAGAGCCTCCTCAAAAGCTGTCGTGGAAGGGTGGGTGTTTGCTTTCTGCCACCTTTGAGTCCCTTTGAGGACACAGAATGCCCCCTGTGCCTCACAGCATCTGGCACATGTTAGGACCTGCAGCCCCCAGGAGTGTGGGCCAAGCCTGAGGAAAAGGACCCTGCACCCAGGTAGGATGGGAGGCACGTGTGTGCGTCTGGGCTGAGGGCTGAGGGCTGAGGGCAAGCCCCCACCCTCTCTCTTGCTGGGCCTGCCTCCAGCTTCTCCCCTCAGGCCCCCGTGCTGCGCTTCCAGGACCCCAAGCTTTCTTCTCTAGGAAAGCTGGGTAGCCAAGCCTCCCTGGTCGGTTCTTCACAGCTCTCGGAAGCTGTGCCTGGCGGGCTCCGGTCCAGTCTTTTCTCTCCTGGGCTCTGACACCAGCATCTGAAGTGCCGCCAGCTCGTAGTGTAGCCAGGTCAAGCTGTTCTCACTGAAAACCCTCTGAGCACTGACCAGGAACTAGGCAGAGCGGTGAAGGGCCAGACATCCATCAAGAAAGGTCGCGGGCGGCTTTCAGCCTGGGGGAAGGTAGCATTAACGACTCGCTGAGCTCCCTCAACTGGGAAGTTATGAATGATATGAGAGAAATAAGGGGAGGTGGTGTGTGTATGTGTGCGCACATGTGTATAAGTGTGTGTATGTGTGTGCGTGCCATGCGTGTATATGTGTATGTGCGTGTGTATGTGTGTATATGTGTTTGTGTGTGTGCATGTGTATATACGTGTGTGTATATGTGTGTGTGTGTGTATGTGGGGGTGCAGCGATGGGGTAGATTGGGGAGCACGAATGGTGGGCTAGCGTCTCAGCGCGGTGTCTCTGGGCACCACTGGATCAAGAGATATTGTGAGAAGAATTGTACAGCTGGTCATCTTGCTGCAGCTCGGGCCTTCATTAGAGAATACGAGTGCTCTTCTGATTTACGGAGCAAACGCGACCGCCCGAGCTCCCTTAGCCACCAAGCCCTAGCCATCAAGCCCTGCCTTACACACGTTGTGCTAACGCTTGCTCTACGTGTGGGCCTTGCACACAGCCCTCCCTCGCTTTGGGACTCCCTGTCCCTCTCTTCTTCTCCCTGGGGTGTTCTCCAGAATCAAGTGAGTAATCCTGGAAGACGCCCCTCCCATTTCCACTGCACCCCAGACCATGGGCAGGCTGAAGGAGGAAATTTTTCCTCAAACAGGGAGACCTAGACAGTCAGGAGGCCCTTCCTGTTTTAGAGATTTTTTTTTTTTGGCTTCATCCACCCAGCAGCCAAGGACACCACAGTCCCCAGACAGATCACAATGGTGAAAAAGAAGCATAACGCTCTCCAGAAAGTTCCCCGGACACCCACACCCTAGAAGGGGCCCAAGATGTGTGCGTGTGCCTTGCCTGCTCTTGCCTCTCTGCTGAAGCAAGCCGTCGTGGGTGCACGGAGGTCGTCAATTGTTCTCTCTGGAGGTGACATGGGAGGATTTACAAGGGGCGTCTCTGGCCTCTGAGAGGGACGCAGGGGCTCGCAAGGTCCCGAGGCCTGCCTCCCCTGCTTTGCACAGGCGCACTTGCCACAGCCCGGGGCTGGGTTCACAGAGAGCTTATTTCAGACAAGAAGAGGTTTGTGAGGACCCAGGAAGAAATAACACTGGCCATGAAGCCTACCAGGCCTGTGGTTTGCCAGGAATCAGCATGGAAGGAGGTGCAGTCTCTATGGATGCTTGTTCTGGAGGATTCCGCGTCTGCTGGCCCCATCTGCTGTTCATACTGTACTCTGCCACAAAACTAAAAGGGGTTCTTCTCTCTGCCGCTAAAGCTTTCTTCCTTTGTTTGGCCCACTGTAAGCAGTGGATTCAGATGATAAATGCATGCCACAGTGCGGTTAAGTTCGTAAGGTGGTGGAAATTCTGCTACCTGTAACCCATCAACCTGCCTGCTGAATGACCTCGTGGTTTTGAGTAGTACAAAGAGTATCCTCCAGTCATCTTTTATATCAAAGCAAGAGCAATTGGACTTAGGTGTAAGAGAGAAATTTTAAGCAATAAATTTGTAACGCAGTGACCTAGCCATGAGATCCCCTGGAGAAGTTTTTACTGTATTTCATTTTTATGTAAATGTATGTAGCAGTGTGCATGTGCATGCAATACCAACAGTGGCCAGAAGAGGGCATCAGCTTCCCTGGACCTAGAATTGCAGACAGTTCTGTAGTCCTCCATTCCAAACCCATCCAGTGTGGGTGCTGGGAACTGAACTTAGGTCTTCTGCAAAAGTAGTATAGGTTCTTCAGCTGCTGAGCCATCTCTCCAGGCCCCCGGAGAGAGATGAATCTCAAGAAGAGATTCAGTTACTGGCAAAGAAGGCAAAGGTTGGTTCTAACTCAGCGTGGTCCCAAAGCTCCCGTGCCACCTCCCAGTTCTGAACTCTCTGAGTAATCCCTACAGAGCTGATGGCTCCAGATATCCCTTCCAATCAACTCCCTTCTAACAAGTCCCTCATCAGTGTTATAACTGTTTGGTTTGCTAATTGTATTTTATGGATATATATTGAAATACATGATCATAAAAACTTAAGAGCCATGTGTGGTCCTTTATACCTATAATCTCAACCCTCAGCAGAATTGCTTTAAGTTCAGTGCCAGCCTGGGCCACATTGTGAGTTCCAGGCTAGTTTGGGCAACTGAGTGAGATGTTGTCTTAAAAATACCAACAAGGGCTGGAGAGATGGCACAGCAGTTAAGAGCACTGGCTGCTCTTCCAGAGGACCAGGGTTCAATTCCCAGCACCCACATGGCAGCTCACAACTGTCTGACAATGCAGTTCCATGAGATCTGACACCTTCATACCAATGCACATGAAACAAAGTTAAATAAATCATTAAAAAAAACAAACATTGAAGAACAGTAGCAAATAGAGATAAAAGCAGCAATATACTTAAGGTATTTGAAAATGATACCAAAAACTGATCTAAAAAAACAAAAAAACAAAAGAAAAAAACTAGAACTTGCCCTTGTTAGCCTGTGCCGAGCTGGTGTGCTGTGTCTTCAGCCATCTTGTTTGTTTGTTTTGCTTTGTTCTTCCTTTTTTCTTTTGAGACAGGATTTCTCAGTTCCCTAGGCGGGCCTCAATTGCAATCATTTTGCCTCAGCATCCTAGTCCCTGGGATTACAGGCCTCGCCCTCACACCTGTACATTTAAAATGCTGTTCCTTTGTGTCTCTCAGGAGCCAGGTGTGAGGTGTGGCCGCTTGTCCCCATAGTTACCCACCTAGGCAGACTTTGGATTCCCCAGGGTGGCCTTGGTGGGGGCGGGCGCCCAGACTTAGGGCTCTCTGAGGTGCTTTTGTCTTCCGACTGAGTCATCAGGACCTGAGCCTGGAAGCTGGCTTTTATTACTTTACTCTTACCCAGGGTCAGCAGCAGCTTTTGAACCAGCAGAGTCCTGGTTCCCCATGTTCCCATGGTCCCCATTCCTACGTTTGCCATAGAATGGTTGTCCATCTGTTTCCGCATTTTCCAAATGCAGGTGGGTGACTGGTCTGTGTTCTCTCTATGTCTCTCTATGACATGGTAGGGCAGTTCAGGCCTGTCCTCTTTAGATTTAAAGTATTTGGCACAGTGTCTTATTAAACCTTCTCCACTGTCACAAATCTACACGAAGTTCCGTGTCACCACGTAAGGATCACGGGCTCAGTGTTTACCCAGTAAACATCTCAAGCTCGCCTCTATGCCAAGCTCCACAGAAGAAACTCCTGTCACTTCTTGGTGGACACTGAAGCACCTGCCACTCGGGACAAGGAGGGAAGGACCGACTATGAGCATTTCCCAATCGAGGGAAGGTAGGCTGCGTTTCTGCCTGCTGCTATTGCAGCGGAGCTGGCCTACAGGACGTGCTCAGAGGGTGTGAATGTTCCTTCTTAGTCAGGGTGGAGAGGCACAGCTCCAGCTCCCAGAGAACACCTTGCAGTGCGTGGTCAGGCACGGGCACATTGAGGCTGCCCAGCCTTCTATGCCCTGGTGACCAGGACAGTGTGGTCAAAGTTGACTGCAGAGCTCTTAAGGGTTTGACCACAGCTTCCAGTCTGCCAGGCACTGCCCCCTCTTCAAACATAGCTAGATTGGGATTTAATCCATGTGTCACCAAATCCACCCTCTTAGGGCATCTGTTACCCTGGCCAAGTGTGGGATATCGTCATCACCTCAAGAAGAGAGCACGTACTCTTTAGGTGCCACCCTTCTTCCCCAAACCACAAGCCCTAAACAGCCACGGATCTCCTTTTCGTCTCTATGGAGATGCCTTTCTCAAACACTCCTGCTAGTGGGATCACTGACTGTGATGCTTTGTGGCGACCTTCTTACCCCGAGCACGAGACTTCCGGGGTAGCCATGCTAGAGCCGCCTCGGTGCTTCGCGCTTCCTGTGCGGAGACAGTCCGGTTTATAGGTGTGATCCAGTCATCGGCTAGTAGACACTTCTATCTTTCAACAGTACTCCTGTAAACACTGGTGCACAAAGTTTTTGTGTGGACAAATGTTTTTGTTGTCTTTATGCACACACCCAGTGCAGCTTCTGAGTCATGCATCTATTTTCCAAAGTGGCTGAGCCACTTCTTCCTTATCAGCAGTATCTGAAAGTTCTAATTTCTTCGCAGCACTTCTTATTGTCTGTTTGGGGGAGCTCTGTGATACTGAGGCCTTGAGTGTGTTAGGCTGGCGATGTTTCTCCTTGACCTTGAATGAATGAAATGTATGCCCTGGCAATGCTGAAGCATACATGGGCAGCCCGTATATGGCGCTTCTGTTGAACTTGTCCAGATTGGGTTTCATGGTCTAAGTTGATGAGGATGGCTGACCAGGTCTCTCCCTCAAGACAGCACCAGATCTCATTACAGATGGTTGTGAGCACCATGTGGTTGCCAGGAATTGAATTCAGTACCTTTGAAAGAGCAGGCAGTGCTCTTAACCGCCGAGCCATCTCTCCAGCCCATGACAATTATTCTAGGTGTGTTAATTACAATGAAGAAATTAGTGGGGATTCTCACAGGGACTGTGTTGATGTCATTGAACATTTTTAGTGTATTACCACCTTAATGATAACATAATCTATGAATATGATATTTCCACCATTCATTTGCATCTTCTTCAAAAGTCTTGTGTATTTTTTCTAGAACAGAAATTGAAATTTCTTGTATCTGATTTGTTTTTAAGCGTTTCACTGCTTTTAATCTTACTGTATGGAGTTTCTTTCTTAATTTAATCTTAGGATTGTTCAGTGGAAGTACGTAGAAATACAAGTGATTTTGTGTATTGATTTTGCATCTTCCAACCTTGCTGAGAATTTATTAGTTCCAGTAATTTTAAAACTGGGTTCTTGAGGTCTTTGTATGCACAGTGGCCATTTTTTCTTCCTTTTCCAGTCTGGAAGACTGTCCTTGCTTTTTCTTAGCAAAATTTCTGCCATGCCTGAAAGCTCCAGCTCAAAGCTTGTGGCTGAAGCGATGCTGGTGCCAAAGCCACACCGGCCACAGGGCAGTGTCCAACCTCTCCCCGTAAACTGTAGTGTCCTCTGTGGACGTTCAAAGAGCCTTTGTTGAGGAAATTCCCTTCTGTCCTGGCTTACTGCCTGAAACTTCTCATGAGAAGGTACAGGGTTTTGTCCCATGTTTTTCTACATCTTTTGAGGTGGTCATGTGGCCTTTGAACTTTTGTGTTCTATCAATATGGTATTCTGACTTCCTCTCAATTTCTCCTTGGTTGGTGTAACTCTTCCTGAAAGCCACCAAGTTCAGTCTTGTTAGTGCTGGGGGAGGACGTCTGTGTCCTGTGATCACGAGTCTATGGCCTGCAATTCTCTTCCTTCTTTTCCTGCACTGTCTGTCTGGATTTGGTCTCAAAGGGACACTAGCTTCAGAAAGTGAGTTGGAAAGTGTTCTCTCCTCTTTTACTTTTTTGGGAGAATTTGTGAAAATCTGTATTTTTATCTTGAAATGTTTGGTAGAGTTTGCGTATAAATCATTTGTGCTTTCTCTTTCTTTGTGGTTATTTTTTAAAATTGCTAATTCATTCTCTTGTTACAGGTCTATGTTACACAGATTATCATTTCTTGAGTCAGCTCTGGTAATTTGCCTTTTCATTCAAATTATCTAATTATTTATAGTCATTTATAACATGCTTTGACTTTTCTCATCCCTGTAAGGTTGAGGGAAATATCTCTGTTTATTTCCGAGTCTAGTGATCTGAGTTGCCCACGTTTTTGCCAGGTCGTCTAAAGGTGTGTTAATGTTGTCACTGTTTCTAAAGAACCAGCTTTTGCTAGCATTGTTCTTATTTCCTAATGATTTTCTAGTAGATTAATTTCTGTTCAAATCTCTATCCACTCGCTTTAAATTTAATTCACTGGGTTTTACTGTCTTAAGGTGAATGGTTGGTTATTTATAAGAAATTGTCCTTCCTCTACAGTGCAAGATTTCTTTTATTTTATTTAATGTGTACGGGTTATTTGCCTGAGTGTATGTCTGTGCGTTCCATGCATGCCTGGTGCCTGTAGAGGCCAGAAGAGGGTGTTGGATCCCTTGGACCTGGAGCTCCAGACAATTGTGTGCCAACATACAGGTACTAAGAATCGAGCCCTGGTCCTCTGGGAGAAGAGCAAGTGCTCTTAACTGCTGGGCCATCATCTCCCCAGTCCTAAAACAGACATTTTTGCACCTACAAAATTTGCCTCTAAGTTACTGCCGTGGTCTTAAGTCATGATGGTTTTTCTTTTCGGGAAGTCTCCACGGAAGTCCCCAGTGGTAGAACCAGCTACTTGCCCTAAATTATATCAAATTTTAGTTATTCAGGGCCTTCTTGAAGGAGGAATTTAGACACGGTGAAGAAGTCTGTGCCTTGTGTTCCTTCATTGCCAATCCTGAAGCACTTGTTGTTACTGGTTGTGTTTCTTCTGGGATATCAGGATCAGTTTTGGTGATGTTTAATCCACATTCATTGATGAAGCTAAAAAGATATGGTTTTGACTAGGTGGGAGTGGGGCTAGAATGGTTTCCTCTTTTATTTTTATCTCCATGATGCATCTGGACCTTTACTCACACACATACACACACACACATCCCCTACACATCCTGACACACACACGTACCTCTACACACACACCTACACAGACACATGCACACGCCTACACACACACACACACACACACACACACACATTCACAAGCAGAACTATTAATTCTTTAAGGGCCAAGATGGCCACTGTTCCTTCTAAACATGGAAGAACCCATCTTTTGGTCCCTCTCTGGTGAGGCAAGACCTCAATCTGCTCCCAGTGCGCTCTGGACTATTCTGTGTTCATTTCTCCTCTTTGCACAAGTTTGCTGGTAACAGTGACCGTGTTGGAGCAGGGTTTCATGACTGCGGCTTGGCGGGAGGGAGGGGGGGCGGGCTCCCCGGACAGCCCTCTCATCTCTCTCCCTGCATCCTTACTTTGCAGCCCAGGCAGCCACTGCTGAAGAGTGTCTGGCCAACCCTGTGGGCATGGACCGCTACAGCATGGACACCTCCTCCGCTGCCTTTAGCCACAGGGGCTCTTTGGCCCACTCCTCCTCCCAGTACTACAAGAGGCTGAACTCTGGAGACTGCCACCTTGGAGGAGGCCCTGCCACTACCACCAGTGTTTCCCGTACCAACCCTGTGCCCTCGGGTGGGCCATCAACACCCGGACTGAGGTTCCCAGCCTCCAGCCCCAAGAGGAATGAAGGCGAAGGAAACAGATGTGGTAACATAACGCATGGCCTGGCTTCCTGGGGGTCGAATGGTTTCCACCCTTGCCCTGGAGACACAGCGTAGCGTGGGAAGTGGGCAGGGGTGTGTGAGGGGGTGGGGAGGATTAGAGTACCGTGATTTGACACTTCTGGAAACCAGGACTTTCCACAAGCTCCTTGGATTTTTGTCATCCCTATAGGCAGTCAGTCTCACTTTTTGATCATAAATGACAAAAATGACACATTAGGTAGGAATAATTAATAGATTACAAAATGTCCACTCGCTCAAATGCCATTGACATCTTAGTTCAAGACACCAAGGGGTGGTGCTCCCTCTCAACCCAGGGCCCCTGCTCTGTTTGTCTTGTGTCCCCACCATACCCTGCATCTGGTGGACAGGAGTGAGGAGGACACATATGATGCCCCGGACAGGATGGGCATGGATCCCATTCACGATCCATTGGCAAGATTAGGTCATTATATCCCACTTAGCCGGGAGGGAGCCCAGCTCTGTGTCCAGAAGAAAACAGCAGTAGACTTGGGGAAAAATTGTCTTTTACATAGTGGGAGATTGATTAAATCATCCATGACAGAAGTTCACTGGAGAAAGCAGAAAAGACAAAGTGTCTCAGTGCTGGTCATTTGGCCCTCCTGTCCTGTCCCTTGCAGAGGAAAGTAATACACGAAAGTGTTCAAAGGGACGTGGGACTCTAGGAACTACGTGGAGGCCGTTCCGGTAGATGCCTTACAACAGGTAGGCCCAGCCTGCAGCCTGTGGGCCTCCTGTAACCAGAGTAACAGTGAAGTTATTGTAGCATATGTCACATGACATCGTAGTGCAATGTCACAGGATTGGGTACCCCTGCTTCACAAAGTCATTCTCAAGCTTTGGGATTTCATTAATGGATTAGAAACGATGGAACGGGATGGATGGTTTTGTGGATGAAGCCCCCTGGAATTCTGGGTTTGCTGTCCTCTAACTGGATGGCCCCTTTCAGCCCTGGTTTCTCTGTGTTTCTGTTTCCTTCCCTGAGACATTAAAGTGTTAGGACCAGCCACCCCTCCCTCATAGAACCACGGGGATGTTAAACACATTTGCATGTAGCTTTAGTAGAAGGCCTACGGCCATAGTAAGTGGTTAATAAATACTAATGCCACAGATCCGTGAATACATCCTTCTACCGACCATAGCTGTGGGGAGCCACAGCTAAAACTGCTGAAGGGGACCCGAGGCCAGAGTCGCGGTCTTCAGCTTACTCCTCTGTCACCCACCCCCCATTGGGCTGGCTGTCTCTTCTCTAGGTCCAGATCCCTCTTCCAGTGGCTGCCAGGAGTCATACATGTGAGCTGTTCTGTAAGGTTCACGACCCTCTGCACACTTCCCTCAGACACCTTCACCCATCCCAGACATACAAGCCCCAGATGGGCCGCTGCTGGCCACGGATGAAAGGATCAGCAGGGACCCTTGAGGAAGAGGTGGTTCTAAAAGGCAGAAAATTAATTGATTCACTTTATAACTGCAGAACTCTTCAGTGTAAGGACTCCATTTATGGTGCCCTTGCAGGGCGCTAAAGGGACAGTGGAAATACGGGAGCAAGCCGCTCAGCCACCGCTCAGCCATGCCATCTTGGTAGAGAGAGGGGGACGTAGGTGAGAGAAAAGGGGACAGAGGGTTGTGCCTCATGTCTCTGAAAGAACGTTCCCTTTCTGCTACATCTCATCAATTTTCTAGAATTGAGTCACATGACCAATAGCTGCAAAGGAAGCTGGGAAATGTAGTTTGAATTCCAGGTGGACATCAGGGACCCTATTATGAAGAAGCGTGGGGCAAGGAGGAAGGGGAAGAGGTGTTGTGCAGGCAGTTAGCAGTCTGAGCAACATGTCCTTATGAAGAATGCTTGCATTCTCTGTTTTTCCTCCCCTGGTACTTTATTCTCTAAGTATTACTCTGTCCTGCCACACACTAGAGGAACCAGTTTTGTGAGGGTGTCACTTGTATTTGAATACCTGAGGGTCCGAGCAAAAGGAGACTTGTGTTAGACTTTCACTTAGCGAGCATCAACCGTGGGCTGATTTCTACTGGACTTAGGACTTACCATGTTATAATATGTTGTTCCTAGGCTGTGTTACCGGGTACAGTTCCGGGTAATGAGGATCAAGAGGTCTGTCAGCTGTGAACCTAACTGATGTGGCTAACTCCAAAGTTTGGGTATATCCAAACACTCCAGGACCTCTGCTTGCACGGTTTCTTGGGGTCCCTTCTGAGGTGGAAGAGGATGGAGGAAAGGGTGAAAGTGGACAGGAATCCAGCTCCACTGAGACTCTTTATCAAGGGCCCCCACAGTTGCTTTGCTTGAAGCAAACTTGCCTAACTACCATGGTGGTTCAGGATACTGAGCTGAGTGGCAGAACCCAAGGCAGAGGGAAAGCCTCAGCCTCACTACCCAACCTCACTCACCCGCCAGCCTGCACCCTGCTGCGGCTCCTCCTCTCTCCTCTTCTCTCTGCTAAAGCCTTGTCTCTCCCGAGGACTGTTTGATGTTCCTCTGAAATTACACCCAGGTGAAATCAGTTGGCACCAAGGAACTGTTTCTCTTCAATGGGTTTGACCCAGCTCATAAACCCGGGAAGAAACCTAGAAATGGGTTTTCTCCCTAGCTACTAATCACAATGGTTTGGAACCACAGAGTCTAGAGAGCTGCACCAGGCTGCAGGCAGGAGGGGAGGGAGGGACGAGGTGACTGGTTCTCAGCTGCCTTTCCCTCAGGTGTGAAGCACCAGCCCAGCCTCCTGCTGCCCCTGGAGCTGCACCCAGTGCCAGCGTCTGCCAGCGCCTGACAATACCTCCGAGGTGCAGCACGGGCTGTGGTTTCCCTGGGGTTTGAGCTGAATCTCAGGTGAATATTTGAGAGCTTCTACCCTCATCCCAGACAATCAGCCAGAGCTATAAAGGACTGTAAAGAGGTTTCAGATAACAAAAGCTTCCTGAACGGGCTATGGAATTCCCAGCCACAGGCAGTGCCAAGCTGTAGGGTCAGAAACAAAATAAATCTGACACTGTTGTTGTAGCGCAAATGTTTCCTGTGGGCTGGAGTCGGCTTCCAAGGGATGCTCTGCCAGAGAGGAGCAGAGATGGTTTTTGCTAGAGAAATGATGAGGATGGGGGCTCATGTGAGGCTGGCATCTGCAGAGGCAAGAAAGGGCTTCCTCGCCGTGGAGAGAAAGGAGTTGGGACTGGGATGATGCAGGAAATCCCACTGGATGGTTTGGGGTCCGTGTCAGGCAGATGGGGCTTCACTTACAGTGACTGTAAACCACACAGTTTTGAGCAGGGGAATGTGCTGGTTGGTGGTGGTGGGATTTAGGGGCATGGTCTACTGGACATTTGTGAGATGACTGAGAAGAATGCCAACTAGCTTTGGGGCTAATGCTGGCGTCTATAACGTTATCCTGTTTGATGCTTCCACCCCAGATGACAGGGAAACACTATGTTCTGGTCAGCAGGTGTTCACTGGGCACCGGGCAGTCTGAGGTCTTCTCAGGTCTGAGGATGGTGTCGTGAACAGGGCAGATGAATCCCCTTCCAGAGAGACGAACCTTAGCACGCTCTTGTGATTGCCCTTGGAGGTGGAAGTGGGACCTCTGTGACAGTGGCGGTACTGGATGGGGGGGGGGGCTGCTGGGACATACTAGGGGGGCTGCTGAGACAGTATTAGGGGGTTGCTGAGACAGTACTAGGGGGGTTG